AGGATGCGCCCTGGGGTGAGGCAGGTTTGGAGGCTGTTCTGTGCGTGCCTGTGTCAATACAGTATCTCACACCGAAGCTGCTCCCATCTGCAGCTCCAACGTGCTTCTAGTCGGATTCCCTGTGACATGGCTGGCGTGAAGTGTGACATGCCACTGGCCGCATGTTCAAATCCCAACTTTGTCCAGAGCAGATGTGCCAGGGCATGCCACGTAGCTCTGGACAAAGCCTGTCAGAGGCCAGCTGAACTGCAGCCAGGCATGAGCGTGTGGGACTGGGGGTACATTTCACCCAAGGTGGCACTTGCCTTCTGCCCCCAGGAACTGCTCTGTAAGGGTTTGTCTGCCGGGGACATGCCCCCCTGGTTTGCCTGGCCTTTACGTGCCTTTCCCTGCTTTGTGTGACAGAGCCCAGGGGCCGGCCAGCCTCCCCACTGTGTCCCTCCAGCTTTACGCTGCTTTCATGCCATTCACCCCTGGGAGTGACACAGCTCTGCTGGCATTAGTTGGAGAAATGCAGCTGGGACTGGGCCCCAGGTTTTTTACCTAGAGGGCATGCTGTGAGCCCCCCCGGCCTCCCACTGCTGGGGACGGGGGCATGCATGGGGGCGCATGTAGTTTGTGATGCTGTGGCTCCATTGTGTAGCCTGATCCCATGACATATTTGGGGCGTGTTGGCTTGTGTCAAGAGCAGGCAGTTTTGGGTGCTGTTACATTAAATCGAAATCCCCCTCTGTGAGTTACACCCTCTGTTTGCAAAGGAGCTTTCACAGTGTCGCATCCAGAGCTGGAAGAGACTTGCTTGTACCAAGCCAGTGCCACCCACCCTCACCCCAGCCAGCCCGGATCGCTCTGTTGCCTGCTTTCTTGCCAGTAAAAGCAGCTGTGCGCTGGTGTCTAATGCATTTGCTGCAGCAGCTCCCACAGCAGCCTGGGGACCCTGGTTGGTTGGAATACCGGCTGCTGAACGTAGATTGCGTACCTGCCCCGAGGCAGCTAATGAGCCCCTCCTGGGGGGTTGGTGTATGCAGAATTGGTCCTGCCACAATGCAGTCTGAGCAGTGCTCCGGAACTGGTCTGTGGGCAGGAAGGGTCCCTTGCCCTCCCATTGCTCTCAGCAGTTGAGCAAGCTGCTCTTAGACTGAGAGGTAGATTCTGTGCTGACAATAAGTGTTTATTGATTTATTTGTTTATTACTACATCCTTTTTTTGCAACCTAGACGCATCGCATGATGCTGTATCTGCAACAATGAACCAATAGTGGGCCTGATCCTGCGTGGTGCTGTGCACCTACAGTTCAGCATCTTTCAGGAGCTCCGCAGCATCCTGCAGGGACTGCCCCATAGTGGCACAGACTCAGGTTGTAAAACCCTGGCTGTTGTATCTGTCTGTCTCTCAGTCACTGTGGACAATACCACCATCCTGCCTGGCGTTAAGGGTTAAGGCCCGTAACCTGGGCATCACCTTCAACCCAGACCTCTCTGGATCCTCACTTCCAGGTTATGTCTAAATCTTGCCAATTCTTCCTGCATAGACACAGCCTTTCCTATCCACCCTCCCAGCCATAACTCTTGTCCATCATCTTGCATCTTGAGTACTGCAACATCCTCTTCTCTGGCCTTGACAAATGTGCTCTGACACCTTTCCTAACTGTCAGAATGCTGCTGCAAAGGCCATTTTCCTAGCCTGTCACTTTGGCCACATCACCCCTCTCTTGTTATCCCTCCACTGGTTCCTCCTTCTCCATCACATCGCTGCTGTCTTCCCTTGCGAGGCTTTTCACTGCCTATTCCCACCCTACTGATCTTTAATTCACTCTCTAGACCTTTTTCAGAATAACAGCCGTGTTAGTCTGTATTCGCAAAAAGAAAAGGCATCTTAGAGATTAACCAATTTGTAGACCTTGGCTCCCGCCTCCTACCAGCCCATGCTGGCAGCCTCCATCACCCGCCTGTTCAATAACATCCAAGTAAGCACCTTTCTGCTTTCTCCCATGCTTTCCCCCACGCTGGGGAGGGGCTCCCATAAAGACCTGCAAAACTAAGGAATTTCTTCAAAGCACTCCTTAAAACTCTCTTTGGAGTGATGCACTGATACCACTGCCCGTCGTGGTGACTAATACTGTGTCCTTGATCCCTTGTGCTCCCCCATCAGTCTGTGGCTTGTTTGATACTTAGATTGTTTTGTTCAGTGTTTGTACGGCGCTGAGCACAGCCGGGGCCTACTCTATGGCTGGGCTCCAGGACACCACAGTAACACAAATAATAATAACAACTCTACTTCTCTGTCAGCATTTTTCAAGGGCCAGAGCTCTGGTACTCAGACGGGAGTTGGTAAATGACTGAGAATCACAGTGAGCTCTCTCCAAAAGAAACCCCAACTCCTTCCTTTAGGGAATCTCTCCTGTCCGGTGCCGGGAGGCAGCAGGTCTGGCCTGAGAGAAGAATGGAATCCAGCTAGTAATCTGACCAATGTGTTTGAAATTCCCCAGTCTATGACGTTGGTGGCTGCAGACTTGGGGTCTTTTTGCCTGGTGGCCCACACTCTGGAGGTACCACTGGCTTTATTGCCTGGAGACAGAAAATTCCTTCTGTAAAATGAGGAGAAGCCCTTGGGGGAGAAGAGCAGAGGAATCAGTATAGTTAGAGTCCAAAGCACAAAGTGAAATCCAATGCTGGCTCACACACTGTCACGGAGTGTGTGGGAGTCCAGGCCCTGCACCCCTCTTCCTGGGATTCACTGAGACTCTCAGCCAGCCAGTAAAACAGAAGGTTTATTGGACAACAGGAACACAGTCCAAAACAGAGCTTGTGGGTGCACCCAGGACCCCTCAGTCAAGTCCTTCTGGGGGAGCAGGGAGCTTAGACCCCAGCCCTGGGGTTCCCTGCGTTCCTCCACCCAGCCCCAAACTGAAAACTAAACCCACCCAGCAGGTTCCCTGCTGCAGCCTCCGTCCACATTCCCAGGCAGAGGTGTTACCTCCCCCTCCCCCTCTTGGCTCAGATTACAGGCTCTCAGGTCTCCCATCCCCAGGGCACATTCCCAGGTCAACACTCCCCCCTCCCTGCTGAGTCACATCGTCACACACACACACACACACCCTTACCCCCTCCCCCCCAAAACTGGAAGGGCAGGTTAGCAGGGCAAGCAGTGGCCAAAGACAAATGCCATGGAGCTGTGGGGGAGCCCAAAGTCCCCATTTTCTGGGCCGCTGCTTAGAGATTCTGCAGCATTGTGTGACATCTGAGAGACTGGGCAAAACCAGTGTGTGAGAGAGTGGTGGTGGGGGAGTCAGTGGGGTCTTGAGAAGCAGGAATCTGCAGTGGCAGGCTCTCAGTTCATTTAACTGAACTGTCCGTCAGAGGGAAAAGACCTAGTTAGGTCACAGCCATCCTACCTCTCCCAGGGGCCAGTGCAGGATTCAGAGTCCTCATTGTCAGCTTCACAACATGTTATTGTTTTTCTGTGGCATGAAAATGAGCTCCTCTGGCTGCCTGCAAACAATGAGTTTCCTTCAGAGTCTGACAGGAGTCAGCTGGTCTGCAAAATTAGGCTGCCCCTCAGGGCTGAATTGTGTTACTGACTCACTCCTAATGTCCTGGGGGAGCAAGGCCCAGAGGCCTGGGGCATTCTGGCAGCAGGGCTGTCTACTGAAGGCAGGGTCACCAGCAAGCCGTGGCAGACAATTCGAATGAATGTGGTGGGTCAGAAGGGGTCTGAGAGACAAGTGGGATATCAAGAGCGTGAGTCCAAGGTGGGATGAGAATTATAAAATGGATCCAATACTGGACGGAGACCCAGTGGAATAAAATGGGAAATAGGTACTATGAACTGGCTAGTGTCTTAGAGGCTGGCAGGAGGGTGTTCACGTGGGAAAAACATTGTCTGGTGGTTAGAGCAGGGAACAGAGAGCTGAGACTCCTGGGTTTTACGTCTGGCTCTGAGAGGGAATCTGGTGTAATGGTTAGAGCAGCTGGCTGGGAGCTGGGACTCTGGGCTCTGGTCCCAACCGTGGCACTGAGGCAGGGCGTGACCCTGTGTTAACCAATTAGCTACTCTTTTACCTCAGTTTATCCATATGTTAAATGTGTCCCTGCCTCATGGTGAAGCACTGCAGTTTAAGGACTGAATGATTGCAAGGTATGTTCGCAAAAAGAAAAGGAGTACTTGTGGCACCTTAGAGACTAACCAATTTATTTGAGCATGAGCTTTCGTGAGCTACAGCTCAGCTAAGGTGCCACAAGTACTCCTTTTCTTTTTGCGAATACAGACTAACACGGCTGTTACTCTGAAACCTATTACCAGCAGGACAGTGGGGTGGGAGGAGGTATTGTTTCATGGTCTCTGTGTATATAATGTTTTCTGCAGTTTCCACGGTATGAATCCGATGAAGTGAGCTGTAGCTCACGAAAGCTCATGCTCAAATAAATTGGTTAGTCTCTAAGGTGCCACAAGTCCTCCTTTTCTCCTTACAATGTGTATGATAATCAAGGTGGGCCATTTCCAGCATAAATCCAAGTTTAACCAGAACGTCTGGGGGAGGGGGAGTAGGAAAAAACAAGGGGAAATAGGCTACCTTGCATAATGACTTAGCCACTCCCAGTCTCTATTTAAGCCTAAGTTAATTGTATCCAATTTGCAAATGAATTCCAATTCAACAGTCTCTCGCTGGAGTCTGGTTTTGAAGTTTTTTTGTTGTAATATCGCAACTTTCATGTCTGTAATCGCGTGACCAGAGAGATTGAAGTGTTCTCTGACTGGTTTATGAATGTTATAATTCTTGACATCTGATTTGTGTCCATTTATTCTTTTACATAGAGACTGTCCAGTTTGACCAATGTACATGGCAGAGGGGCATTGCTGGCACATGATGGCATATATCACATTGGTGGATGTGCAGGTGAATGAGCCTCTGATAGTGTGGCTGATGTTATTAGGCCCTGTGATGGTGTCCCCTGAATAGATGTGAACACGGTTGGCAATGGGCTTTGTTGCAAGGATAGGTTCCTGGGTTAGTGGTTCTGTTGCGTGGTATGTGGTTGTTGGTGAGTATTTGCTTCAGGTTGGGGGGCTGTCTGTAGGCAAGGACTGGCCTGTCTCCCAAGATTTGTGAGAGTGTTGGGTCATCCTTCAGGATAGGTTGTAGATCCTTAATAATGCGTTGGAGGGGTTTTAGTTGGGGGCTGAAGGTGACGGCTAGTGGCGTTCTGTTATTTTCTTTGTTAGGCCTGTCCTGTAGTAGGTGACTTCTGGGAACTCTTCTGGCTCTATCAATCTGTTTCTTCACTTCCGCAGGTGGGTATTGTAGTTGTAAGAATGCTTGATAGAGATCTTGTAGGTGTTTGTCTCTGTCTGAGGGGTTGGAGCGAATGCGGTTGTATCGCAGAGCTTGGCTGTAGACGATGGATCGTGTGGTGTGGTCAGGGTGAAAGCTGGAGGCATGTAGGTAGGAATAGCGGTCAGTAGGTTTCCGGTATAGAGTGGTGTTTATGTGACCATTGTTTATTAGCACTGTAGTGTCCAGGAAGTGGATCTCTTGTGTGGACTGGACCAGGCTGAGGTTGATGGTGGGATGGAAATTGTTGAAATCATGGTGGAATTCCTCAAGGGCTTTTTTTCCATGGGTCCAGATGATGAAGATGTCATCAATATAGCGCAAGTAGAGTAGGGGCGTTAGGGGACGAGAGCTGAGGAAGCGTTGTTCTAAGTAAGCCATAAAAATGTTGGCATACTGTGGGGCCATGTGGGTACCCATAGCAGTACCGCTGATCTGAAGGTATATATTGTCCCCAAATGTAAAATAGTTATGGGTAAGGACAAAGTCACAAAGTTCAGCCACCAGGTTAGCCGTGACATTATCGGGGATAGTGTTCTTGACGGCTTGTAGTCCATCTTTGTGTGGAATGTTGGAGTAGAGGGCTTCTACATCCATAGTGGCCAGGATGGTGTTATCAGGGAAGATCACCGATGGATTGTAGTTTCCTCAGGAGGTCAGTGGTGTCTCGAAGGTAGCTGGGAGTGCTGGTAGCGTAGAGTCTGAGGAGGGAGTCTACATAGCCAGACAATCCTGCTGTCAGGGTGCCAATGCCTGAGATGATGGGGCGCCCAGGATTTCCAGGTTTATGGATCTTGGGTAGTAGATAGAATATCCCAGGTCGGGGTTCCAGGGGTGTGTCTGTGCGGATTTGTTCTTGTGCTTTTTCAGGAAGTTTCTTGAGCAAATGCTGTCATTGCTTTTGGTAACTCTCGGTGGGATCAGAGGGTAATGGCTTGTAGAAAGTGGTGTTGGAGAGCTGCCGAGCAGCCTCTTGTTCATATTCCGACCTATTCATGATGACGACAGCACCTCCTTTGTCAGCCAGTAAGTCCCCACCACAAGTGCTGGGCGCTAATCTCAGTACAGCACACGCAACCTGCCTCAAAACTCACTTCTTCCGCACGCCCACTCCCGCTGAGTCACTGCCGTTAAAACGCTTCCCCGCCCCCTGGGATACCAATGTGGAGAGAGGAGGAAGGAAATGGCGGGGTGGGCAAAGCGTAAAAACAAGGAGAACAGAAGGTCCTAGGCTAAGCTCCCAGTTCCTGGCAGACGTCGTCTGTCTGTGTAGGCCCGGTCCTGTTTACCTGTAGCCCTGTGTGTAGTCCTGGGGGGTGCCCCGTGCATGCTCTGGGGGCAGGGAGCGGGCCTTGGACAGTGGGGAACACCCTGTTGGCACTTGACAAACACTCATAAACGGTAACTACTATAAACACCCGCACGTGAATGACTCCGCTCTGTGGCTGTGTGGTCCCTGCATACAGACATGCAGATGCCTCTTCATGCACTGCAGCTCTCTGCATTGTGTAGACTTTGCTGGGCACAGACATTGCTTGGGGTTTTTTCTATGGAAAATTTGCCTCTAAAATTTGTGGGGAAAAAACTCCGTTTGAGGTGGTACAAGTAGCAGGGAGACCTGTCGGGAAAGCTGCATAGAATTGTGACGTCACTCCTTGCTGATGCTGTGTGGCTACAAGCAGCAGCTCTGAAAGGGCAGATGTGTGAAGTAAATTAGTGCACTGGGCATAATGGGTTCATTCGAACCATCGGTAAAAATGTATTTTAAACAAAGACATTAATACAATAGCATGCCATGCCATGTGAGTCCTAATCCTCTAAAGCAAAGATATTCCTTGCTTATAATTCCACCTCTAGTGGCCACGCAGGTGAGGAGTAGCATGTAGGGACAAAGAGCTGACAGGGGAGACACAGGGACAGACACCTACTTTATCTAAACATTGTATAACACCATTGTAAGAATGTATGTTGCATTCCCCTTTAGTGGCTAGTCCACCTTTAGAATAAGAGCCTACTGCTAGCTGATGGAGTTATTCCTTTAGTTCAAATAATAGAGAGAGGGCTCTCTTTTGATGTTGAAGGTTCCAGATTCAAATATAGGGTGTATTACATTTGCAGGTTACATCTTTAATCAAACTATATTAAAAGAATATTAAACATACAAAACCAGAGACATGCAGATAGAAACAATAATTGAATCACCTATTCACACGTGAATGTTTGTATTTGTGTGTGTACCTATATATGTAGCTATATTTGTGTAGTATGTTTGCACATGTAAATACCATGCACACACAGAGCCTTGTGGTGTGCGTGTGTTGGTAGCATCCCTCGGCACAGATGTGGGTTTAGGTTTGGCTGATTGTTGTTGGTTGAATCACTCCTGAAGCCGTACAGTGAGGCTGATCATGTTTGTAGACTTTTTTGTGTACCTCGGAGCCTATTCCAGTGCAGCTGCAGTAGCCTCATACATAGTCAGGAATCAGAATCTAAAACTCCATAGAAACAGCCAGCCAGATCTCTGCCAGTGTTAATTGTGTGTTTGGAGTGGGCTGCGGAAGGTGGCTAGGAATTGGGCTCAGGAACAGAAGCCTGGTTGGTAAGTCTACACTTCCAAAGTTGCTTTCTTAATTTTGGTTGCCTTTCTAAATGTAATGCTAACCCTTCCTCCGCATTAACAGTTTGCCTCAGCGGTTTTGTTTCTGAAACATTTTCTTTTGCTTTCAAATATTTTGCCTAGATTGTGTTGAGACCAAGTATGTGCTTTTAACTACTTCAGATCAGAGCAAACCCTTTCTATCCTCTTATCCATTGTCGGGCAAAATGAAACTGGGAAGCTAGTGATTTTCTATTTGTAGATGTTTGTTTGTGCTTGACATCTTTTGCTTGTTAAACTAGTCTCAGTGTAGTGTATGCTGCACTTCCATGCCGGCTATGCACACATTCCAACATGTGTGTATGTATCAGTGAGAGATACATAAACATCACCAAAACCAGCAGTGGATCTCATTGCCTGACACAATTCTTCATTTAACTTTAATGCTTAACCACTGCTTGCTTTTTTATCTCTGCTCATTTTCTCACTGTTCACATATTTAGGTGGAATTTCATTTTTTCCCTGAGAAACCCTTGTTTTCTTCTTACAATTTTTGGCAGCTTTCCTTGTCCAGTATGATATTTTTCCTCTTCCTTCTTGTCAGAAGCAATGATTGGTGCTCTTTCTACCTGGGAATTGTGTAAACACAAGACTTGTCTGCAATAGATGTCATCATTTCACTTTGATGAACTCACTAATCTAACAGTCACTAATGAATAGCAGTTGTTCAGGGGGAGATATGAATCCTCTCTGCACCATGCAGTGTCTTTAATTAGACTTACACATTGCAAAATGGCATCCTAGTGGGGCTGAGGCGGGGGAGATTTGGAGATGTTGTGAATGAAATTGTAGACGGGATGCAAAGACGAAGTTACTCTCTGGGGAGTGCTAAGCATTTGGAAGCTGTGGATGCTAATTAGGGCCACCTTGAAATTTAGTTCAATTTGTTATGGTACAGTATGCTAGTGTTTGACAACATCTGAGGAAACTGTGCAGCAAAGACTACAGGCAGGCTGCCAAGATCTCAGTTCTTTACATACCCACCAGAAACATTAGGACAGAAAATCCAGGGTGCCTGGTCCTGTCTGAGTAGTAATTGCATAGAAATTCCAGTGTCCTGATGCCTCCTGTACTGTAAATTATAATTCTGATTTTCCATCCATGTTTGCAGCTGATGCAAGGAAATGTATTTACTATTGAAATACAGTCTTAGGTCAACACCTCCAAACCCCACTTGAATGCACCTTTCTATGTGCAGTGTAGTTTGTCAGCTGTGGGCAAGCATCTGCCCCAAAATCACCTGGCTGAAGTGCTGAATCTGGTCTCTGGTTAAAAGGTTTATTTTGCTGGGGTGTTACGGTGCATGGCACAGAGCCACACAGCTAATTAGAAAAGGCAAAGGAAGCTTGGCATCTGCCTGTAAATCTCCAGGATCAGACAGTCCTGCCTGCGTGAGCTGCTGCTGTGTAGTACATTCTAGGGGTTAAAGAGCTCCGCCTTTGCTACAAGCTAATAGAAACGACAGCAGCATCTAACAACAGGAGCCAGCCGTGCAGAGCTGGAGTGGAGAGTTCTCGATCCCTCAGCTGAGCCTGAAGTCAGCTCCTGAGCCTCTCTACCAAAGAGAGATGGTTTCCATAATTGCTGCATTACCAAGGCTGGGCGATTCCGGGTGTCCGGAGCAGGGAGCTGGGGCCAAGAGAAGCACTGGCCCCTGCACAGAGCTAGGCTGGGGTATCCTTCCCTGCAGCCTGCAAAGAGGCTTTGTCAGTCACATGCTGGGGTGAGTCTTAGTGTAACCCACACACACCTTCTGGGTGTGGTGTTCTGTCCCATCTGAGACCACTTAACGAGTTAAATGAGTCTGCTCTACAGGCTTAGCTAAGAGCGAATTGATTTTAGCTCATGCTGTAGAGGCTCATGCACTAAGCTCCAGGGGTCCCCAGTTCAATCCTGCCTGCTGACGACCAGCACACAGCCACAACTAGTGCCATTAGGGAGTCAGGTCTGATAATCAAGAGTGGGACTTCAGTGGTGACCTAAACCCACCGGCAGCCAAACTGCCCCCCTCCCGGATACCCCATGCCAGGGGAGCAATTGAGAGCAGAAACAGCCATGTGTCCTTTGGAGC